TTAACACGTTCCGTGCCACGTGTACCATCGATGGTACACGCTTGCATGTTTACTTAGTGAACTGAACAAATTGTTTACAAGAAATTTAGAACCGAAGAATCAATTTCCACCGCAAGAATGGGCGTTGATAAGTTTTTGTTACGTTGTTAAGTGTACGAGAATTAATAATTGCACGTAATACATCAAGTTTTAGTAAAATATCAAAGTGTGAAGATTCGAGTAAAAAAAGCTCGGCACGGAACGTGTTAACGAAAAACACTGACCAATGAGAGGCGAGCTCGCCTAGCGCTAGGCGGCCGAGCTAATCGGCGGAACTGGGATTCGACCGCTCGACCGCTGGCGCTGTTGGCTCACGCGAGCTTAGCTGACGCGAGGCGACCGAGACAACGAGTAGTCGAAACCCAGTTCCGCTCATTGGCTCGGCCGCCTTGCGCCAGCATATCTCACCTCTCATTGGTCACTGTTTTTCGTTAATAACTCGTTAACGGTGCCTCGGAGAAAATTTTCGTAAAGGAAAAAGTTGCTTCAAATGGCCTGAGGAACCCGCTACTTTCGGATTGCGAGACATTTTTGGGGCACCCTGTATATACAGTATCAGACTCTGCCGTCCAGAGAAATAGCCTCGCGCAGAATTCAGCCGTACCTAAAAGGTTAAAACGGTATAACTTTTTTTAAACTGGTCTGAACGACTTGAACTTTTTTGTAAATGTTAGAGGAACTAGTTCACTGTACAATGAGTAAAGTACTTTTTTTTAAATTTTGCTATTCTTTGGAATAAAAAGAATATTTAAAAAACTCTCGCTTTTTCACTTTTTTATCTGAGCCTATAATGAAAATTTAAAAAATGGATTTGATAGTTCTCGGTAACTTATATGCATAATGAAAATTTCATCAAAATATATATGTAGAACATTGAACATTTGTTACAAATGATTTTTGTAGTTATTAATTATTCATTATTGCAAATACAAGGAACAGGTGATTTTTGCCGCGGTATCCATGAGATATAATGTTAAATCCGGCAAGAAGTAATTGCTATTTAGACAATAACAGTGCTTTTTATGGCGAAATCTGTAAGCTGTGTTCAGGGTCCATACAGCGCCAATTAGTAAATGGCAAAACGCTAGAACTAACAGCAAAACAAAGGCGCCTCTTGTGGTGAAATCTAGAAACTCTGATTTGGCTAGAAGTTTCAACATTTTGCCATTTACTAATTGGCACTGTACGGACCCTGAACAGAGCTTTCGATTTTAATTTTCTGGAGTTTACATTGAATCTAATGGCAATAACTACAAAAATCATTTGGTCTCTGTATTTGCAGTAATAAATAACCTTTCTTTTTATAATACAAGAGTCTCCTGAATACTTTCGTAGAATTCTAATTAGATAGAATTCTAATCACTATTTTCGGAATTAGAAACGGAAGATGAAAGTATATAGAAATAATGAAATATTATTTATAATTATGTAGGAACGATCTGTGGGTTCACAGTCTCGGAGAAGTGTGGAAAAACAACCTTCGGTTTCTTCAAGTAAATCATCATAATCATTCATTAATTATCTCAAGAAGCAGGAATTCTATATCTTTCTATTGTTGCAATCTTTTCCGTAGGGAAGAGAAGCGTGAAATCCGTGTCCAGTGAGGCGATGAAGCAATCACCGGATCAGGTAATAATTAAAAAAGAAAAAAACGAACAGTTGCACATAAAAAAGATTTATGATACCTACATATTTTCATTCACAGGAATCCCATAAAGCCGAACCAGATGAACCAGTACCCGAAGAACGTCGTCACAGCCGCGGACGATACTACTCCGATCAAATTATTCATTACGAAGCAGACGAGGATGAAGCTGAAGAATACTAACAAAGAACGTTGTTTCTCATTTCGAAACCCCATACACTCTGCCAAAAATGTTGTTCTCGAAATAAGACCAGTAACGTGTGAAATGTATTTCGCAACTCTAATCAAGTAGACGTCGAAGACGGAGTTTCTTTTATACGTACCTGACAAATTTGTGTATAACTATTTATTTGCTACAACTGCTCAATATTTTATAACGTAAGGTCCTTCGAATGAATACAGATTATACATACAGATATACCGCCGGCAAATCTGAAAGAATGTAAATTTTTAGAATAAAATAATTTGGAAACAAGACGCCATGCTTATACGATCGCAGTTATAATGTTCCGGTGCAGTTGCAACGGTCGCAAACTATTGGTTCTGGAGAAGACGGAATACGGAAACTGATAAAAAAATGAAATATCAGCGAACGGAAGAGACTTGCAAGGAGGATCGGCGCAACCATCGGACGAGACTCGTTCTTTTATTAAATGTTTTATTATTAAGAGGGAATTTCGGAGTACACAAGACTATCTAGTGAAGTCGATTTGGAACATCGGTGGTCTGTCATGCTAAAACAAAAATACTGGATCGCACCACGCGCTGCGACCGCACTAGATCGCTCTTCGTTATTGCACATCACACCGTTCGAGATCCGTTCACATAAAGAAGTGTACACAGCGCTCTCGAGTGTATAATTATATGTATATATCGGACTTATTCGTATATCTCGATCGCTCCCGCTCGTGCGGCAGCATCCCCTATATAAAGAACTATACGGTAATATTTCGTAATATTACTGTATATTTTTATATATGTTCATGTATACGTATATCGTATGTATACGTTCGGAGCTAAACGCTACGTCATATAAATTTCAAGGTACAGGAAGTATCTACAAGTTTTTAGGTCTCTACCACAGAATTTTACGGCTGCCTCGGTTTTCGTTATCTCTGATTTTTCCCAGTTCATTGGTGAGTGCCGTTAATCTACATACATTCGCTAAACATACCTAGGAGATTACCATGAATTTACCACACTAGAATCTTACGGGAGAAATCAACGGTATACACGGGGGAACCATCACGCAAGATCATTGGCTTAACGACAAAATGCAATAAATAGAATGTCAAATAAATATATTTATAATATATATATATATATATATAGATATATGTATAGATTATACTTTTTTTTCTTCGTTAGGAAGGGGACAATATAATGTCTTAAACATTAACATGGATATGCATTATTGATTACAGTTAATAATACTGGCAGCTTAAAGTACAACGTGTATGTTCCTATAACTATGTGTATGTGTGTGTGTGTGTGTGTGTGTGTGTGTGTGTGTGTGTGTGTGTGTGTGTGTGTGTGTGTGTGTGTGTGTGTGTGTGTGTGTGTGTGTGTGTGTGTGTGTGTGTGTGTGTGTGTGTGTGTGTGTGTGTGTGTGTGTGTGTGTGTGTGTGTGTGTGTGTGTGTGTGTGTGTGTGTGTGTGTGTGTGTGTGTGTGTGTGTGTGTGTGTGTGTGTGTGTGTGTGTGTGTGTGTGTGTGTGTGTGTGTGTGTGTGTGTGTGTGTGTGTGTGTGTGTGTGTGTGTGTGTGTGTGTGTGTGTGTGTGTGTGTGTGTGTGTGTGTGTGTGTGTGTGTGTGTGTGTGTGTGTGTGTGTGTGTGTGTGTGTGTGTGTGTGTGTGTGTGTGTGTGTGTGTGTGTGTGTGTGTGTGTGTGTGTGTGTGTGTGTGTGTGTGTGTGTGTGTGTGTNGGTACAGTCTGTTGGTATCTTTCGTGCGATTTTACCAATTTTCGCATCCGTAAATTCGAACTAGAACTTCGACTATCGGGTTTCAGGATTATCGACGTTCGATGAAAGCCGCGCTCGTACGATTCTGTTGGCGGGAAGGGAGGACGGGAAAAGATAATGTAAACGTAAAACGAAACTTTACTCGAAAAGCGTCAACGTTCGTATTTCCGACGTTTCTTAAACTGTACAATAACTCGAAAATACATCTGCCTCGTTGAAGCGTAGAAGACTATAACTGTGTGTGTGTGTGTGTGTGTGTGTGTGTGTGTGTGTGTGTGTGTGTGTGTGTGTGTCTTGTGTAGTACACTGTGGAACTAAGGAAAAGGAGATGGTACAATGAGTGGCAAATGTAATGAGAATGATTCGTAATTGACGTACGAAAATAAATGTTATGTGTAATTCGATGAGGAGCACAAGGTTCGGGATTAGCGCGACGATTTACCTCGGATTACGGTTAATGCTTTCGACATTTTTGTTCAGATATTGTAAGTAACGTTTTGTTTTCTCTGGACTCTAATAAGCACCAATTGGTATCGATCGGTGTTCCACTAATCGTCACGCTAATTCGGATTTTATTGTAGCGCGTACGAGATGAAAAAGTACTGAGCAAAAGCAAACGATATTCTGCCAAACGATGATTTCGCTGCGTTTCACAGGTACTAACGATTAAAGCGATAATTCTTACATGAAACTAAGAGGTGTATTCATTTCTGTCTACTGCATAAACGTTTAATGAGGAATGATTCCGTGAAGAACATTTTCAAACGATTACTGGAACTAAAACAATACAGTGTTCTGTCTGGTTAGATACATTATAAAATAAGAGATCTGTTCAATAAAAAACTTGTATTCTTTAATTTTACGCTTACAACGTACGTGTTACTTTCAAAACAGTTAGAAATTGGTAAACGATTGTAACAAACACCTTACTCAACTAATATAAATGTGTCCTTTCACCGGGAACAAGGATGCTCTGTCCTGTATCTAAGAATCTGCAGCTCTTCGCAAACAGGAAAAATTCAAATGAAATGGCTTGGCTACTTCGACCACGACGAAAGCTACGCGGATTTGCTTTTCCTCAGTAAATCTTCGCTAATTAGTTGGCAAAAGAAACCGTCCAAGGTCCTGAATCGGTCAGCACGGCACTCGCTACTCGCGCGTCTAACGTGTTCTACGGAAAGTCGGAATCAAAATGTTTCGTTTTCACCTGTCGCCGGTGTCGGCGGAAGTCCGGCCTGGACCGGTGCGGATCGAAATCCTTAGCGCGAAATTAATTATTGTAACACCACGGACGTCTCTCGTGTCGCGGACCATCGCCGCGGCTCGTTGCTGGCTACCGAATCTCTCGTTACAGCGACTTAAACTTAACGTTACGTGCTAATTTACTATTACCGGTAATCATATCATATTTTTACGATTAGAGTTATTACTACCGCTATCAATATTAGTATCATTAGCGTTATTATCGTTATCGTTACCGTAATCGTACGAGAATATTGCACACAGCGACCAACAGACACGGATAAAGGGAACTAAGTAACAGATCACAGGTAAAACTAGGCTATCTCTGTAACAAATTGATATCACATGAAAAAATATGTATCGGTTGCCTCTTCTCACACGAAAAATCTCCCAAAAAATAAGAGACTGTCGGACGGATGACTCGGTGGACGAGCCATCGATGATTCGGAACGGCTGACACCCTTGACCTCGCTCGCATTCACGCTTCGTCCCTTTCATCTCTCGCTTCCGGTCAGCCTGGACGAATAAATAATTCATTTCCGCGTCCACGAACCGCTCCTCTCTCTCTCTCTCTCTCTCTCTCTTTCTCTCTCTCTTTTTCTCGCAATATCCAACTGAATGCAAAACTCGGCGATCGACCCACCCTGCTCCTGAGCCTAAAACCGCTTACCAACGACGACGAACAACTAAAACCCTGACTAAATGATTACGATTAGCAGTAATGTTTTGGCATTGCTACCGCGGGCCTAAATCGGCCGCCGCGTTCATCGCTCGATTCGCTCGAATTTACTCGATTCATCCGATCGATCCGCTCCAAGTCGTTCCCTCTTCTCGCTGAAACGCGAAGCACGACCGAGCTACTCTCCTTTTCTCTCTTCTTTGGCTTCCAGCTCCGTCGTAGAGGCCGCGCGAGCGACCCGCCTACGTGTGTATTTTAAATCTAAGTACGTATTATCTCGCACCCCCGTTAGATTATCCGCTCGTAAGACAACGACTCTGATCCCTTCGATAGTTTCTTACGTGAAACCCGTGGCCAGTCCACGGGCACAAGGAACAACCGTTTTGTAAAGCTCTTGCGACAACCCCGTATCGATCCTGATCCATTCAGGACGTCGAAACTCCTATAGACTCCTCTTAGTTCCTACAAGGTGGACTTACGCGGGCGCTGCCCGAATAAGGAAAGCCGATCTCTTCGGAATCGTTCGTGTAACATATTTTTAGATCGATGAGAATTGCATTCTGCGCTTTGGATCGTGCAGTTCGGAACGTGGATGCGAATGTATCGAGTTGTACCACTGCGAATGGCGAGACAAAATCGCACGTCAAGTTTGTCCGAGTCATTTGAAAGGGGAGACTTTGCGCTATAAGCACGTCTTAAAGCGGAACCCGAAAGAAAATGTTTCAACTTCGCGTGATTCTTTAAAAGGTGACAAATTATATTTCGAAAGTGACTTTACATTATTATTTGCTACACGATGTAAAAATTTATTTGAGAAATATGAAGGACGAATTGTGAAAGAGAAAGATTCGAGCTTTAAAATGAGTCCACGGAGATTGCGGTACGATTTTTTCTCACGGAGTTATAGCACTTGGAATATTGGCTATTTTCAACTGCCACGTTTTACCATTTTTACTCATTTCCACGAAAATAGGCTCGACTTATGAATTTTTATTTCGAAAATCGCTTATCCGATCGAATTGATTCTTTTTTTATTTCGATCAGGAATGTTTCGCCTACGATCGAACATTTTTCCAACTCGGAAACTAATCGTTTCATTTTTTTAGATGCCAGTTGAAAAGAAGATCAGGCTGTTCTTATTTGGGCAGTTTCTTCGTTAGCGTTCCCTTGTTCTCATTTCTTTCTCGTTTCTCCTGGATTTTCATCTGTCGCCTCGATCTCCCGCCACTCTTCGTCAAAGCCATCCCCCCTCCCCCCTATCGACCGATCAAGTGCAAGGAACAAAATCCTGGATCCACCAAATAATTTCGCGAAAATAAAACTCGCGAGAGTTAGGCTCGCGATGATAATTCTTTGTTTCTCTGAGGAAGACGAGACAGATCCAACCTTGAAACAGTTCTCATCCTCGACTCTGTCGTTGCGTACTCGTGAACTCGATAGTTTCCGACAAAATCGATCCTTCTCCATCCTCGGGTAATAAAGCTCTCGGCTCGATGCACGGACACCGACGTAATCGTAAATGATTCAGGTGAACGAATTACGAATCTCGAGGTCGCTCGTACTAAACCTACAGAAACTCCTCGCTGATTTGTACTGTATTTATTTCCGTGGTACAGGATGGATTGCCTAACACTTACAAGTTCGAATATCTTCATCACTTTTACCGAGAAAAGCAAAAAATGTCTATCTTAAAAATACAAATATGTCGGACGATTTATTTGTAGTAAAAACCGAGCATGGCCATCATATCGAATGAAATTATATTGAATATTAATTACCAATACTCAATCATATTGAAAGAAGGTTTTTGGTAGCCTGAAATACAAGGGAAGCGTGTACAATAACAGAAATCAATAATATTGTTGTAGCTGGTTAAAGAAATTTTCTCTTGTTCCGATTTGTGCGAAACAATTTATGAAAAATATATTCCGTCCCGTAATAATTCGATCGACTCTCAAAAATTCTAACATTTCATTATACGAGCACGTTTATCAATTTTTAGATCTGAAGAAATAGCCGTATTTTTTCTCGGACGCTTTCTCGTGTCATTAAAAGTAATGGAGACATTTCAGAGGTCGCAGTGTTAGATGGTCGATCCTGTACAGTTCCAATTGCCGACTTCGTCTCTCCACGTTTCGTAGCTTATCTCGGAAGCTCGGAATGTGTTTTTGGTAGCGGTTCTCGCGAAACGCGTGACGAGAACAAAAAGAACGGAGATTTCATGGAAGTACGATGTGTGTTAATTGCTCGGTATCCTAGGTCCTCTCCGTGGAGTTCACGTTTCTGTTTCTGTACAACGGATGCACAAGATTCGCGACTCGTGAACAACGCCGCGCCTCCGCCGCGATTCGTTCCGGATATACATACATACACCGTCAGCGGTATCGCACTCGTTTCGGATAAACATGAGATATCAAAAGTTTAGGAGCGCCTTAAACGGCGCTACGATAGATGCGCTACAAAAGCTGTGCTATGACCGGATGCAGAAGACACATGTGCTCGGCGCCGCGTATCGGAAGACGGTTCACGCTGAAGTGCCGCACCATTTCCGGTATGCTGTCGAACGGCTTGCTGAACTGGCCCAAAATGTACGCGTTCAGCTCCTCGTTCTTCTGGATTCGCATGTGCATGAAACCGCGCGCGCTTCTGCAATTTCAAATCGAGGATATCCTCGTCATTATACATTCAAATTTTTGAGCAAAGTTATGATTACGCCGCGGTATTTCTGCATTTAGAGCGGGACTCGACGACTGCGATGTAAATCGGAACATTTAGTATAATCTACGGACACTGATCAGTTAACCCTTTGCACTCGACGCCATTTCAACCGAAAAATCTAAATTAATTTTTCTGACTTATGGTATTTCCATTTTATGTGACGAAGTGCATTTTGTGCATATGAAATTGAGTCTTGTGACTCATACAACAGTTAGACTTTTAACAATTTTTTACATCTGAACCTTGATAATATAAAAATTATCTTAGAACGTGATGTAACAATTTCAGTGGTGCCTCAGAGTCACCACTCGAGTGCAAAGGGTTAATCGTGGGGATTCGTTCAAATTCTACGATGAGAAATCAAAATTCAGTTCATTAGAAAAACTCCGCATTTTGAAAAAAATCCGCAGACAAATTATAATTTAATATAGCAACAAGGATGTCAAATATTTTATTTGCTTGCGATAGTAAAGATTGTCAAACTTTAAGAAGACACGATTTTTAGGATAGCGTAATCAAAATTTCTTTGAGGAAATACGCCATTTTTCAGTGAGAAATAATTTTAAATGATGTATTAGAATAGTACATGTTTTAATCTCCCAGATCATTTGAAGTAACTTTTCCCTTAGCGAAAATGCAATCCGCTGCTTCGTTTACGAGTTATTAATGAAAAACACTGACCAATAAGAGGCGAGCTCGGTTAGCGCGAGGCGGCTAAGCCAACGAGCGCACGAAGCCCAGTTCTCGCCTCTCATTGGTCACTGTTTTTCATTAATAACTCGTAAACAGAGCAGTGAATTGCATTTTTGTTAAGGAAAAAATTACTTCAAATGATCTCAGGAATTAAAACATACTTAATATTACATAAATTTTACATAATTTAAAATTATTTCTCATTCAAAAATGGCGCATTTCTTTAAAGAAATTTTGATGTATTTTCGCTAAGCAAAAATGTTGCTTCGAATGTATGACAGCCTGTATAAAAAGTTCTTCTTGATTGTGTAAATCTATTTCGGCTAAATCTACTTTAAAAAAAAGTGACGGATGATAGATGGTAGCACAACTTACTTCAAAGATAAAGAGTAATCCTGTTTGGTTGATTCGCTGTTCCTCACCAAATAACTTCCTTCCCTCAGAAGTCGTAGGACAGCTTCCGCCTCGATTCTCGTGATGGATCCGTGGTACCATCTGCAAGGAGACAAACAAACTTTTATCTGCTCGGAACGATGGCAGACGCTTGGAAAGTTTCTCCGCAAGTTTAGACGCCCCCCTCTCTTTCTCTCTTTCTCTCTTTCGGGATTTAAAGGTCAGTGTATTCAAAATGAAGGAGCAATGCGAAAACATGATGGAAACTATGTAAATGTATGAGAAGCATGTTTCGAACTAGCTGCGCGTGAGAAAAATGCAATGCAACTTGTCCACGGTATAAAGTAATCTGAATTTCATATTGGTACAAATATTCACGGAAAATATAGTAGAAAGAATACAAATAGTAAAACGGTATAAAGTAATCTGAATTTTATATGGGTACAAATATTCACCGAAAATATAGTAGAAAGAATAAAAATAGTAAAACTGGTAAAAATAGTAAAACTGGCAAAAATAGTAGAAATGGTAAAAATGGTAAAAACAGTAGAAATAGTAAAAAATGGTAATTATTGTAGAATTTAAATATTAAACAGTATTTTCTATGATGATAGCGTGTTAATTGATAGTCGGAACACTGTGTAGTCGATAGTATACATATAGTTAATTATGTGCCATGTGAGTCACAGTCTGTACCAGCTATATATATTCAAAAGCTGTCGTCCTGCACAAAATTTCAAGCTTAACTAAACGTCGACTAACAATGCCCGGTGTTACAACTTCAACTGTACTCCTGAAAGCGATAAATATAACTAATAAAAATCGTTAAAACTCGACTTAAAAATATTCCTGACAAATGGCAAATTCTGCTCCAAATGTAACATAAGTCCAGATAATTCATAAAATGCACCAGCATTCTAAAATATCTTTCAGAATCATAAAACAATTCAAAACAATAACAATTAGGACGAACAGGATTCCAGGAAAATTGCAAGTGACCTTCTAAGAAATCTGCTAAGTTGCCTACGTGATTCAGCAAGTACGCAAGCAGTCCGAAGGAAACGCAAACCACTCGAAAGTTACACTAAAAATGCTGAAAAAATTAGGAACAATAAAAATTGGGATGAACGAGCTCCTAGAAAACGGCAAGCGATTTTCTATAGTTATCGCTGAACCGTCCAGAGAATTCGGGAAGCGTGGAAACAGGATTCGGCCGGTGTAACAAATGCGAAGGACGTACCCTTGTCTCTCGAGAGGAAGATCGACGTCGACGAGGTCGGCGGATCCACGGGCGGCGCTAATCTCCAATGGCAATCCAAGGTTCAGACCTCCGGGTTTTTTGGGCGCGATCTGGCCCGCGCACCCGGCGCTGCTCGTCCCGTTACCGGCGTCCAAATTCAGTGTCATCTTCGGTCGCGCCAGCCCGCCGCCTGAAATGAGTCATGCGACAGTTAGACGCCGCGAAATTCCCCGGAGAGGAGCGGAAGGGTGGGTGGGGGGGAGAGGGTGCAACCATCGATTATACGTATACGCGTAACAGACGCGGCGGGCAGCGTCTCGGCCCCAGGATTTTATGGGCCACCCTCGTAATTGGAACAAATCGGGGACTCGGTTCCCGCTAAGATTCACGGCGACAGGAACCGAGCTCCCGTCAATGCGCGATGACAGATTTTCGAGGGAGATGGGGACCGCCGCGACGACAGAGAGGAAGTTTAATGGACGTTACAGGGCTGTTTTGCTCCTCGTTGCTTCTCCGTGAAATCAAATTCAGATCGAACTGCGGCGCTCCGTGCATTCGCGGGTCGTAAAAGTTTCAAGAAATTGCGGAACGCGCAGAGCGGCGCTTTTTATGCGCCGATTTATTATCCCGAGGAGGAGAACTTTAAGTCGATGTTGCTTCATCCTAGTTTATGGTACCGCGAATATTTGCATAAAACATCCGCAGTGTACGGCGAGGAAGCAGCGAAGAATCAATGCTTGGTAATTCTCGTGACATGAAAGGACTTCGGTCAACCCTACCGAGCCGTGAAAGCGACTAACACGAGTCGCTTCGAACCGTGGCAAGCATACATTCATTATTCATTTATTTTCGCCATGCTCTTCAGAAGAGGATGACTTTCAAACAGTTACAGTAATGTCTCCCTTACTGACGCTCAGATTGTCCACTAAAATGAATAATTTGGGAAGAGGAGATACGATTATTCGAGCCTTGCGACTTGTTTTTATATAATTGTGGACAATTTATGACTATAAAAAAAAAAACGGCAAGGCTCGAATAATCGTATCTTCTCTTTCCAAATTGTCCATTTTTGTGGTCAATCTGGGCGTCAATTAGAGAAACATTACTGTATCGTGCGATTACACTGTCCGACAAAATAACTATGAAATTCTTGTAGAGCTTCACTCAGTTTTTTAAATAAACGAACTTTTGTAAAAACCCAAAATTTTCGACAAAAATGAGGATCCCTCCATCGGTGTTGATTACGCGTAGCTTCGGCTCTGTCGGATAAAGAGAAGCGAGCAGCGAAGCTCATGGCGGCAAAACGTTGTGTACATGTTGCCGTCGAACATTTTCTCGATCTACTCGAAATGTATATCGTTCCGACACTTTTACCGAGCCGTTTCTTCTTCAGAAATGTCTACAGAATCCGATCCTGGGTAGAGTTTTCGTGCCGAATAAAGAACTTTTCGTAAAAATACATAAATATTGCGCAGAAACTGCTCACGTCGACACTTTTTTAAACTTTGACATTAATTTATTGCTATTTAGGACCAAAAACAATTAATAAATTGCATGCCACTATATTCGGGAAACTCTCCTCTATCTTTTGACGCCAATTAGAACTTTCTAACGTTTGTACTTTTCATGCAATACCTCATTTTTGTCGAAAATTTTGGCTCTATCTTTTGACGCCAATTAGAACTTTCTAACGTTTGTACTTTTCATGCAATACCTCATTTTTGTCGAAAATTTTGGGTTTTTACTTTTTATTTAAAAAACTGTGGGTGATGGAGCAATTCGGTTTTCGGATTCTTGTTCAGGGAGTGAAACACTACAAGAATTTCATAGTGGCTATAGGAACCCAAAAATCGCGTCGGTCGCTACGCTGCCCACTCTGCTGAGCTGCTCATCCGTGACGTCATCGATGGAGTCACGTGGCATCTGAGGGAACGCGCGGCCCTACACTTATCTCCCAGTATTTAGAAGAAACGAAATAGTAACTAATATAGGTTGTCGGTCGCCGCACACTATGACGAAAAAAACGCACACATAGAAAAAACCATATACATATATTAGTTTGCAGAGGTTTACATCCACTAAAACTGACGCTTTAATATCGAAGTGTGCAGTTCGCAAGTGGAAGTGGAATGCAGTTCCCAAAAGACTAAACTCGAGGACATCGGTTGTAGAAATATCCGTTTTGCAGTTATTGTGGAGATATTTGCAATATTCGAGACCCTGATAAAAAGGCGATAAAGTCGAAGCCAGAGTGTTCAATGTACATAATCCAATGTATTATAGAAACTATATATTGTAAACGTTACATCCGCATGTAATCCTACAGATATCTAATCTCAGAAACGGTCGCATATCGGTCGGATGCGACAATAAATGAATAAATAAATAAAAGAGGACAACGTTTCGCGAATCGAATGAAACGATTTGAATTTTATTGCGAACCTGTTCTATCATGCCCGTTCTTATAAGAAACGATTAGATCGACCGGCGGGGCCATTAAGCCGATAAAGTGGTCAATAGAATTCAATTGAAGCGAGAGGAGATGTTGTTTTCGTGTAACAGCCCTCAATCGGAAGACGATTGACTTTCCGACGAGGGGTAATTGTGTCAGCAATAATCGAGCTCTCGTAGCAAGAACTCGATAATACCTGTCGAGGAATATTTCTTTCAGGTCGAAACAATCGGCCGTGACTTTGNAAGAACTTTTCGTAAAAATACATAAATATTGCGCAGAAACTGCTCACGTCGACACTTTTTTAAACTTTGACATTAATTTATTGCTATTTAGGACCAAAAACAATTAATAAATTGCATGCCACTATATTCGGGAAACTCTCCTCTATCTTTTGACGCCAATTAGAACTTTCTAACGTTTGTACTTTTCATGCAATACCTCATTTTTGTCGAAAATTTTGGGTTTTTACTTTTTATTTAAAAAACTGTGGGTGATGGAGCAATTCGGTTTTCGGATTCTTGTTCAGGGAGTGAAACACTACAAGAATTTCATAGTGGCTATAGGAACCCAAAAATCGCGTCGGTCGCTACGCTGCCCACTCTGCTGAGCTGCTCATCCGTGACGTCATCGATGGAGTCACGTGGCATCTGAGGGAACGCGCGGCCCTACACTTATCTCCCAGTATTTAGAAGAAACGAAATAGTAACTAATATAGGTTGTCGGTCGCCGCACACTATGACGAAAAAAACGCACACATAGAAAAAACCATATACATATATTAGTTTGCAGAGGTTTACATCCACTAAAACTGACGCTTTAATATCGAAGTGTGCAGTTCGCAAGTGGAAGTGGAATGCAGTTCCCAAAAGACTAAACTCGAGGACATCGGTTGTAGAAATATCCGTTTTGCAGTTATTGTGGAGATATTTGCAATATTCGAGACCCTGATAAAAAGGCGATAAAGTCGAAGCCAGAGTGTTCAATGTACATAATCCAATGTATTATAGAAACTATATATTGTAAACGTTACATCCGCATGTAATCCTACAGATATCTAATCTCAGAAACGGTCGCATATCGGTCGGATGCGACAATAAATGAATAAATAAATAAAAGAGGACAACGTTTCGCGAATCGAATGAAACGATTTGAATTTTATTGCGAACCTGTTCTATCATGCCCGTTCTTATAAGAAACGATTAGATCGACCGGCGGGGCCATTAAGCCGATAAAGTGGTCAATAGAATTCAATTGAAGCGAGAGGAGATGTTGTTTTCGTGTAACAGCCCTCAATCGGAAGACGATTGACTTTCCGACGAGGGGTAATTGTGTCAGCAATAATCGAGCTCTCGTAGCAAGAACTCGATAATACCTGTCGAGGAATATTTCTTTCAGGTCGAAACAATCGGCCGTGACTTTGGCCGCGACTTTGTCGTAGTATGATAATGGAACGTCTCTCCCGCGCGACAATCGACAAGGCTGAGTGCTTTCACTTAGCGAAAGCAATACAATCGAAATTCCTTCCTCGAATTTTTCACCCCTCCCGCTCTCTAAATGCCCGGAAGATGCTCCGAGCGATTCTTCGAAGTTCTCGGGGCCGCGCTGCTTAAGATTTCCGCGGAAATTGTCGGTATTGTTTCGTCGTAAACAATATGACTCGAGAAACGAGAAGAACGACAGGCCAATCTCGCTTTTCCGGGTGCGGGGGACAGCTTCGATTTAATTCAGAACTCGCGAGATTAATATCCTCGAATCCGTTGTCCGAAGACTTCGTTTAGCGAAATGAACGTTTCAGCCAGCGAGTCGGAAAAACGAATCGCATTTAATAACGATCGATAAAGTTTCCATTTCGTTCTGTCATCGACTAAAACATAAATTGCGTGCGAACGACGCGAACGCGTATTTAATCGCGATTCCCACGAAAATTCATTTCCAAAACCAAGTGCTTCGAACGTCGAGTGCGACCGAAACGTTCGGATGGTAATGATTTTAAGAACCAGCTCGCTTCGGAATAATTTTAAGCCGTTTTTTACGGTCTTTTGAGCGCGAAGTGGGCGTTTCGAGAAGCGTATAATGCACAGTGACCCTAATGTGCGGAGTAAAACGTCGCGCAGTTTAACAGAGCAAGCTATTAGAGTTGTTGAACGAAGGTCGAGGAAGCTTCAACGAAGGTCGTGCACGAATCGACAGAGTTATACACTTTTTCAGGTATTCTTGTTATTCAAATTATTGAATAATATCGAATAACTTCAGTGAATAATATTCGGTATTTCCGACTTTTTTAATGTCGATGTGCAAACAATCTTTTCAATTAAAACATTTACTTTATCTGTTCTCATCGGAACATAAATTGATTTACAAGAAAACGATACGAAATATTGGTAAATAAATTTCGTATCATTTTTTATCATTTGCATTATACAAATGCAATGATTCATTCGTATATCGACCTAATCGATTTTATTTAAAAACTATATTCAGCACATTTCAAGAACATGTCTTATTTTAACAAAGAAATAATTAATTGAATTTAAATACAAAAGTTTGATACGTCTTGTACGACAAATGTAAAATTAATTATCCTCGGAAAGAAAGGCACATTAATTGGCCATTGGTTTTCAACTCAACACTTATAATTTAATGAAGCATTTAATATTCTCAATTGAAATATTTTGATATGAAATCATTGAACTAATGAATGAATTATTCCAATTTCGTATAATCGTGTTCACTCT